AGGAATGTGTTTGAAGGAAGAGGGAGAGATTGAATGTGTCAAATGCTGCAGATGAGGACTGAGAACTGGCCATTGGGTGTCGCAACATGGAGATCACTAGTGACCTTGAGAAGAGCAATCAGTGGGGTGGAAGCGGGTACCAGTCCAACTGGAGCGGAATCAAGTGGGAGGAGAGGACATGGGACAATGAGTCTAGACAACACCTCTGGGGAGTTTTGCTATAAAGGGGAGCACAGAGACACATGGTAGCTGGCTGGAGAAAATGAGAGGCATCTTTTAAGGTAGGAGAAACAAATAGCAAGATAGCTGCTGATGGAATGATCCAGTGGAGGCGGAACCTACAGTGCAGGCGGGGGCATGTGCTGGAGCAGTGTGCCCCCCCTGCATTATAGGTTCCCCCTCTACTGCACACGGATCTATTGAACAAGTAGAAGGGTGGCCTAAACCAGGAGCAGGGACACTTCACCCACAGTGACAGGGGACGGCAGAACAGTGGGTACAGATGCTAGTGGATGGGTGAACGTAGCACTGGGAGTCTGAGGAAGCTCTGAGTCTTCTAGTTTCTCAAAGTAGGAAGCAATGTCATCAGCTGTGAGAGGATTGCAGAAGGTGGGGGGTGGGGCTAAAGTTGAAGGGAGAAAAGAAAGGACGAAATAGTCATCAAGTAGAGGAGATGGGATGGACTTGGGACCCATGTGGGACTGCAGGACAGCAATAAGGACCCTCCTGAAATTCACAGTTTCAAACTTAAAGTGAGACCAGTCAGGGTAGTGGTTTTTCTCAGCCCCACTCAGTTGCCCAGGTAGAGGAGACCAGGCATTGGATTTGCCGAGCCAGTATCAAGAAGCAAAATGAGGTAAGGGAGGTGGGGGATCTGCAAGCGAGAGATTATCCTGACTTTTCTAGTGGTAGCTGCCTCTGGGCCGGCCCCTGCCCCTGTTCAAAGTCCCTCCCCTGCTGGTGCCAAAAGCCCACCATCTGCTCCCGGCTGTGGGTTGTGTGTGGCCCTCCCTCTGCTCTCATCCCAAAATGAGCTTCTGAGAGGGTGGCCACAGTTGTTCACCAAGACCTGGGGAAATGAGCTTCCCACACACTGTTCTTTGATCTAGAAAGTATCTTAGACCTCACATACTCAAAACTGCATTCTCCACCATCCTCCCCAAGCCATTGCATGACAGCTTTCCCCACTACTGGCTCAACACCAGTGCCTGTCATTCTGCCCTCTAAGTCTCTCCTTACTGCATCCCTTCTCTCTGCTCCCCACCTTCCATACTCCAGTCCCAGCAGGGTCACCACACCGCCAACTCCACCCCCATCCCGTGCATTCCCTGCGCACCATTCGCAGCAGCCTGGAATCCGGTGCACCAGCATCTTGTGCTGGACCACGTCATGGACCCCTGACAGGTCTCTTTTTCACCACGGTGGCCCTGCCAGTCCACACCATCCTCCTCAGAGCACCTTTTCCAACATTCACATCTCCTCATCACTTCCCTCTTTAAAACCCTTCATTAGCTCCCGGTGCCCTTGGGGAAATGGCCAGCTGTCAGCCCACATTCTAGGCCAACTGTGGTCCGGGCCCCACCCCCTTTCTTCCTGTCTTGCCCCCCACTCCCTCCACTCTCCCTGCACCTTGTGCCCCTCACTGCTGTCTCAGGGCCTCTTCCTCCTCTGACAGCACCTGCCCTGAGTTGGGGCTCACCCCCACCCCCACCCCTTGGGCTGTGAACTCCTTGAAGTCCCATCAGTGTTCTGCTTAATCACCCTTCTCCAGTGCATGGTCTGAAGTTTTGCTGACCTGCTGTGTGGATGAAGCTTCTGAAGGTAAGGAAGAGGGAGAGATGGGATTGAAACAAAGGGACTCCTTAGCCAAGTGACCTAACTTAGCACCACCTATTATAGGACAAGCTAATGACATGTGCCTCCTGATGGGAGGCAATGAGAAGGATGTGACATCACCTATGGGACAGTCTCACCCAAAAATGTTTAACCTGAATCAACTCATGTGGAAGCAATAAGACAAATTCACAATGTGGGCCATTCAACATGAATAACTGACCAGGGCTCTTTAAAACTGACAATGTCATAAAAGACATCAAAGCAAAAAAAAAGCAGGGAATTCTTCCAGATTAAAGGCGACTAAAGAGACGTAACTGCAATGTGTGATCCTTGATCAAAAAAAGTTTTTTAAGCTATAAAGGACATTACAGGGACAACTAGAGAGATTTGAATATGGATTACATATGAGATTAGATTGTATCATTAAACTTCTTGGGTATCATTAGCAGTATAGTCATCATGTAGAAAAACGTCCTTTTCTCAGGAAATCCATGCTCAAGTATTTAGAGCTGAAATGCTATTAAATCTGCAACTTTCAAAAGTTTCAGAGAGAGAGAGAGAGAAACAAATGTGGGCAAAATGTCAACAACTGGCAAATCTAGGTCTCTAGGTGAAGGGTATATAGGTGGGTGTTTGTTATACAATCAGGTGATCAGATTTGACAAAACAAAAGTTAAAGAGGGGAAGGAAAGGAGTGGAGGGAGACACTAAAGAGGGGAGCTCAGGGCCCGGCTTGACAGAGCAGGAGTCAGAGGAGAGGGCTGTGCCACCTCTGCCTGAGCCGTGGCAAGGAGCTGGGTCTGGCCCAGCCCACCAAAACACTCCTTGGGGGGTGACAGCCTGAGTGTATCCTCCCGTGTGAGGAGCCAGGCTAAATATGGAGCCCCAGACATAAGATGCCGCTCAAAACAGATTTTCCTGGAAAAGACCATCTGGCAAAGAATGTCTAGAGCATCGTCTGTTATGAGAGGTTGTGTCGTTCTCCTGCAGCTGACGTCCGGAATGGGAATGCCTCAATCCCAGCTCCCTTAGAAGACCCCCACTTAGTGCCCCAATTTCCCCAAGTTCATCCCCTTGCTCCAGATGAAAAAGTGCTCAGTCCCACCTTCATCCTAACTTGCACTTGCAAGAAAAAGAGAATGAGACTGGGGACATAGGTCCAAGCTTCAGACAGTTCTGCCCAGATGCATATCCTGAGTCTGCTACTTACTAACTAGGTGACTCTGAACAAGCAACTTTTCCCTGAGCCTCAGAATCCTCCTCCACAAAATGGAAATAATGGGTGTACCTCCTTCTAAAGGCTTTTGCGTGTATGAGTACTTAGCACAGTGGCAGTGCATGACACATGGAAGCTGGGCAAGGTAATGGCCCCCCACTCCTCTCTCAGTCCTGCCAAGAATAGCAAGTCCTTCTTTCCAGCTAACTTGGCTTCCCCTCTTCAGGAAACACTGAGGGTCAGGTTGGCCAGGAGAGCACACACCCCATAGCTGTCAGACCAGGACAAGCAGCATGAGGGAAACCTTGCGTCTGGCACACGGCACTCCTGGGACTACAAGGTACTAATCACCAAGCACTGAGGCTTCAGCCCCTGCAAAAGGCACCAACTAGGGAAAGCCTTCCAAGGACATTCCAGGCATCCTTTTATGTTTAGGTGGGCCACCACCCACATACTCATCCCAATATCAGGGAATCCTCTGGTTCAGGCCACAACCTGGGGTCCTGCCATGTTTCCACCAGGACCAAACTGCAATAGCCCCATTCAAAAGCCACTGCCTCTCACTATATGCTGGGGGACAGAGGCTCTTAAGAGGGAAATCTATCTTCCAGAGATGGGAGGTGGGTAAGAGAGGGCAGCCAGCCCATTTTACTGATTCAGAGATCACAGGTCATAGAACTTGTTGCTTCTCTGGGAGGAAGGACTCCTAACCGCCCAAGGAAGCAGGTGGAAGAATGACTATATCTGCCCAGAGCCAGGGATTGGGCTTGGAGGTGGTCCCAATGCCCCTTACCCACTCTGTCTCAAGCTGCCTGAGTATCCCCCAGTAAGTAGCTCTTGTTTCCAGGGTCTGGAAGAAGGACCTGGAGCACCCAAAAAAATCAAAATGCCTCTTCTCAGACCCAGGCTACCCATCTGCCCTGGCCAAAACCCTGAACCCTCTCCCCGCTCCCCATTCACCCACCCATCAAGTTTAGTCTGGCTTATCCTGAGCCTGCCAGGAATCTTAGAACCACTTCCATTATGGCTGGTGCTTCTGCCCCCAGTTTTCTGCCAGGGCCCCACAAGATGGCCCTAAGATGAAGGGATGGGCTGAGGCAGTGGTCCCCTGGGCCTATGCAGAGACAATGCCCCCGGTTCTGACTCAGGGAGCTCCCAGATCTTCCAGAGACAGCAAGAGTCCGAATACCTCTTCCTAGGAGGGGGCCAGCTGGGCAGGGTGGTCCCCACATCTGGACTCCCTGTCCCACCCCAACCCAAGCAGGGACTCCAAGGACCCCTCCCTCCGTGCGGCTGCCACAGCCATTATGTGCCTCCTGGCCTTGCCTGCTGCCTGCCACGCCCCCCATGCAAGCCTTGCTCCAGCAGCAGAGCTCAGAGCCGCTGAGGCCTGGCCGCTAAGCCGGGCTGTCAAAGTTGGGAAACTGGAAACAGAAATAAATCCTCAAAGCTGCTCTGTGGTAAAGGTGGCTGCCAGCAGGCCGCACACTCAACACCCGGGGTCCCTGGCCACCCAGCTCCCACTGGCACCACATCAACGCACACATATACACTCAGATTCAGATTATACAAACGAAGAGGGGATGAGGATCAGGAGACAACTGGGCCACCAGCCCTGACCCTCCCTGCAGGCTGGCCTGGGGCTCTCTAGCGACGTCCTCTCTCCCTGGCCCAGACCCGGCCAGCCCGGGCTTCCTCTCTCGGCCCCATCTCCATGACAACCGTATCCTTCGGATGCTCCAACCGCCAAGGAATTGGTCTCAAAACGTAGCTTTGTTAGCAGACCCAGGCGGGCACTGAGGGCGGAGGGCGGCGCCCGCCACCCAGCATGCTTCCCCCAACCCCAGCACCCCCAGCCCCGGCCCCCAGCCCTGCTTCGGCTTCGGGAGGGGCGGGGTCCCAGAGTACGCGGGCCCTGGGGACAAGGTGGTCCCGTGGCTCCACTCACCGCTCCTGCTCCCAGGCGCTGGGTCCAGCCTCTCACGGCGGGGCCATGCGGAGGCCGCCGTCCGACTCCGCCGCCGCCTCCGGCGGTCCTCGCCGC